CTGCAATGCTTGTGTTGGGCAAGCAGGGGCTGCAGCTGGTAGGGCTGCGGAGGAAGAGGCTGGTCAACAGGAAAGGTACCCAGATGTTCGGTGCAATGGTAACGAGGTGTAAAGAGGGTTTGCAGGCTGTGGGGGAAGAGACTGGTCATTGTGGAAGGCAATTGGGGGCAGGAGCTGGTGGTGGTGGCTTAAGTTGACACACACACACACACCCCTCTGTGTGGGAGCGATATAAGGGTCTGAGGAGCTGTCTGGAGCTGGGAGCAGGGTGACGCGAGAGAGAATATTAGTCTTTTTGCTTACTCTTAATATATGGACCCACTAGGCTCCAGAAATCTAACTCTATAGGCTGTTTGTATGCCAAAAGATATAAAACATGGCTCTCTTCCTGTAGGCTCTGGAGACCTTGGCTCTGGTAACAGACAAATATAATGGACAAATTATGTTAATCTCCATATAGACACTATTCTTGATGTATTGGAGGGAAGGAGAGTGGGGAGGTGAGGGACAGTCCTTTGAAACATGGCTTCAGATAATGACTTGGTTGGTTCTTGGCATTTCCTAGCTTCCCATTGGACGTCAGTGTGTGAATCATTATCGACGACTAAGGCGTCACTGTGTCTTCTCGCATGAGGAGCTGATCTTCAAGATGGCAGCAGATCCAGAGTGTTTAGATGTGGGGCTTGCTGCCATGGTCTGCAAGGAAATGACTCTCATGACAGAGGAGGAAACACGCTTAAGGGAGTCAGTTGTGCAGATGGTGAGTACTCTGATTGCAGCTCTTGCTTTTCATCGTGTTGATGGGATGGAAGGTTTAAAGATGTTTTGTAAGGAAGTGTGCTGATTCTCTGACTCGTGCTTATCAAGTGTCAACATTTTTGTTAGGGAGTGCTGATGTCAGAAGAGGAGGTGTTTGAACTGGTTCCAGATGATGAGCGTCAGTGTGCAGCTTGCAGGACGACTTGCTTCTTGTCTGCTCTTACTTGCTCTTGTAATCCAGAGCGGCTCGTATGCCTGTATCATCCGACTGATTTGTGTCCCTGTCCCATGCAGAAAAAGTGTCTCAGGTACATGCTTCCTCATCTCTCTTTTCCCATGTGCAGTCGGTCCTGTTATCCAAAGGTTTATGGTAAACTATAGCAGTTGGTTTTGCCTACCTCTTTCTAACTAACAAGGATAGTCTTCTCATTTCTTGAACTATCTCACCCATTACCAAGATAGCTTCCCCAATTATCACCTCTAATACCATTAACTCACAAACATCCCACTCTCCCCACCTCTAATATCATCAATTCACAGACACTTACCTTCCTTCCTCCCCCCCCCTTCCCCCCCTCCCTCTTCTGTTCTGAAATGTGATTTGTCCTTTTCATGTGTTCATTTTTTTTAATTGTATCCTTTGGTATATATGGTTGTGACTATTTTCTTCCACTATTTGATCTGAGGAAGTGGGTCTGGCCCACGAAAGCTCATTATCTAATAAACCATCTTGTTAGTCTTTAAAGTGCTACATTGTCCTGCATTTTGCTTCATCTTGCCCAGGAGGCCAAGAAATCTGGGTGTAATACATACTTTCTTATTCACAGAATCCAACAGATGAGGATTAAAGAACCTGATGTCTTTTGAATTATAGGAGGTTTAATGCTCTTCCTGTTTATATATAGGTACCGGTACCCATTAGAGGACCTCCCTTCTCTTCTGTATGGAGTGAAAGTTAGAGCACAGTCCTATGACACTTGGGTCAGTAGAGTTACAGAAGCACTGGCTGCCAACCTCAACCACAAGAAAGGTCAGACTTCCATTGTTGCACAGTGTAACAGTTTGTTTGGGGGAATCCCTGCTGGGCCTCCTCGTGGGTCTGGCTGACCAACTTGCGTGGCTGGGAATGGCAGCCCACGGGGCTGGAGTGGTCTCCCACCCAAGGTCCCACATAGTTTGGTTAACTGGTCAAACGTTTACCTAACTTCTAACCGGTTAACTGATTAATTGGGATTATACATCCCTAATCTCCACCTTTGTTTAGCCTGCTTGTCCAGTGAGGGACATAAAGAATTGGATGGAGGTGGGGTATTCCAGCTAGTTGAGAAGAGGGAAACGTTTTTCATGGAAGTAGGGCAATGGAGCTAATTGAAAATGAGAAACAAACTAAACTGATGCTTTCCAATGATCCTGTGCTTTTAAGATCTAGCTAGCATGTCGGGGAGCTTGTTTGGGGTCTAGTAACAAAGACTAAGAAGGTGTTAATTTCTACGCACAGACTATTTGTATCCTGTTATTGCAGATGTGATTGAGTTGAGAGTGATGCTGGAGGATGCAGAAGACCGGAAGTATCCAGAGAATGATCTTTTTCGCAGGCTCAGAGATGCTGTGAAAGAGGCAGAGACCTGTGCTTCAGTGGCACAGCTACTTCTGAGCAAAAAGCAAAAACACAGGTATGGCCAGGAGCTTTGCAGTATTTTCTACTTCTTTTGTCTTGTACTTGGTTGCTGAAATGCAGAGCCCCTGAGGCTTCCGGCATGACTTTGTAGAAGCCCACAATCCGCTTTCTCCAGTAGTGGGGATTAGGGGGGTAGTGGCAGGAATGTTGCAGTAAGGGGACCATATTGTCACAGATCTTCAGCATCTTGTTTGTCAGCAGATATGTGTACTTAACTATGGAAGCATGAGTAAAGGAGAGGGGTTTGGGGTGGATACTAAGGATTCAGTGACATTAAAAGGGGTTTCAGGGAAAGGGACAGATCAGCAAATGTAAAAGTAACACAAATTGAGGGTTAAAGAAAATAGAAGCGTGGGTCAAGTATACCCGTGGAAATGGGAAACAGCTTAAAGGTGCTGCCTTCTTTCGGTTGCAAAGTCAAGCACTCAGAAGTTGAGAAATGCCAGATGTATGACTCCCCTTATTATGCACGAACATGAGGGGCTGAATTAGTTGCTTGGGCAGCCTGAATTCTGGCACTCCCGAACTTTTGAATGGCTTGACTTTTATAACCTAAATGTTCTTTCACTGTAGTTTTTTCTTTTTCAAAGAAAAGATAGAATGTGATTTTTTTATGTGCAACTGTACCTACTGCATGATCATCAGAGTTTGAACCATCAAGCTTCAGAATTGTAGCACAGGCTACAGTTGAGCTACAGCACCAACTACTGCATCTGGCTGTAGCAGGGGGCTTGTCAGCTGTATACAGAGGTGCAGTCCATGAAGCTTGGTCCAGCTCTCACCATTCCTACCTCACATCGTGATCCCCCTAGTGGGGGGAGGTACGGGCTACAGTGGCACTGGGTCCTCTGCTGGTTTGCGGCATCAGAGATATTGTATTGCCCTATCCTCTTCCCTCCTGCCCCCCCAAAACCTCCCTCTTCCAGCAGAGCTCAGATGTTCCCTGTATGTGATGAGTGTACTAGTGTTGCAGTGGTGGCATCAGCCTGATCTCTGAATGGTCATGTTGAGTTGTTCAGTTGGCAGACCAGGGAATTATTCTGAGGAATGCAAGGGAGGGAATGGAAATGTTATCTTTCAGCAGTTTGTTCTTAGCCAAAGCTGAAAGGGGTTTCAAGGAAAAAGAAAATGGCTTCTGTAGCCTGAGGGCTGATGTCTGCTCAGTATCAGAGGTTTCCTGCAATGATTAAGGCATGTGAGACACTCATGATTTCTGGCACACTGAGGAGTCCTTTCTGATGAAAAATGTTAGGCAACCGGAACATAGTGGTCACTTCCAGTTCTTTCTTTCACTCTAAAATGTAATAGATATAGATTAAAAACAGCTAATGCAGAGCAAATTTGCTATTGCAATACTTTCAAAGCAAACATGTCAGTTGGACACCAGGGTTTTTTCTATTCACTTTTTATTTTTTTAAAAAAGTATGTACAGAAAAAAAAGTAACTATACATACACTTCTAATATATTAACCATTTCTTTCCTAATCTTAACTATACTGTAAACATTTAATTTATTAGGGATGTAAAAAATCATTTAAAATAGTAACCATGTAACAATTAAAAATCGTATTGATTATATGGTTAACTGTTAATTTTGCTGGGGGATGTACTACAGCCAGCTGCGGGCTCTGCAGTAGAAGTTGGCAGGCACATGATGGTCTCAGCAAGATGGCCCCACTCCCAGGCTGCCCCTGCTGCGGCTCTGTATTAGGAGCTGACAGGCTCCGTGCGTGCACCGGCTCTCTGCTGCCAGCTCCTCTCCGTGGGTCCTGGGCTCCTGGTGTTGAGTACTGCCACCAGTAGCATCCCAGCCAACTGCAGGTCTCTGGTGCTGGTCACCCACCTCAGCTTTCCTGCAGTTAGCCTCCTGGCTCGCCCAGTGTCGTGGCTGCTGCTACGACCTAGAGCTCTGCTGTTATCTGCCACCATTAATTTCCTGTATGCCTGTCTTGGCACCAGCATTCTTAATGTGGGCTGCTGGTCCCTACTAGGGCTTGGCTGTCACACTTTTGTAATCTTCCTGCACAAAACATTCTCTCCTCCCCCATGCTTTAGTGTCTTCAAGGTCCCTCCCTACCACTTGTCTGTTTCCCCCTACAAAGTAGTTCTCCTTCCCTCACACTTGGCTAGTGTCCTTTCAGATCCCTTGTACCGTCACACTTAGCCGCCTTCAAGCAGCTTCCTTGTTTTCCTGGGAAAAATACAGCAATAATACTGTGTCCCACCTGTTTGTGACACTTTGCCAGCGTTCTTCATAGTTGAAACAGCATTGAAGTCTTTTTTATTTTATTTTTGGTGACAGCTGTTGCATAGTTAAGATGGAGCGATCAAAAAAGAGTGCTGCCTGGAATCATTTCAACTTAGCCGCCTTCAAGCAGCTTCCTTGTTTTCCTGGGAAAAATACAGCAATAATACTGTGTCCCACCTGTTTGTGACACTTTGCCAGCGTTCTTCATAGTTGAAACAGCATTGAAGTCTTTTTTATTTTATTTTTGGTGACAGCTGTTGCATAGTTAAGATGGAGCGATCAAAAAAGAGTGCTGCCTGGAATCATTTCACAAAAATAAGCGAAGACACTGTTAAATGTAAACTGTGTTCCGCAGAGCTGAGGTATGCAAGGAGTACCGGATCAATGCTCAACCATTTGAAGCTGAAACATCCTTCTGTTTCACGTGAAACAGAAAGCAGAAATCAAACAACACTGACAGCATTTGCTTCTGGCATTTCTCCAAGAAGATGCAACACACAGCGTGAGGAACAACTAACGGAATTGTTGTGCACCATGATCACTACAGACATGCTACCTGTAAGTGTTACTGAGGGTGCAGGTTTTCGTGCGCTGATGAGTTTTGTAGAACCTGAATACTGTGTACCTGAGAGACATACAATGACCTTGCGATTAGAAAAGTGCTATGAAGCCTGTGTCAAGTCTCTACGAGAGAAATTGGACAAAGCTGTTACAGTAGCTTTAACCACTGCCTGCTGGACTGCATTAACTACAGAAAGCTACATGACTGTCACTTGCCATTACATTGAAAATTGGGAGTTTCGATGCTCAGTTCTACAAACTGAAAGTCTTGCAGATTGGCATACAGCAGAAAACCTTGCTGCAAAAGTGAACACTGTAGTTGAAAGATGGGGACTGGCAGGCCGTGTCCTGGCGTGCATACATGACAGTACAAACAATATTATGCTCACCAACACATCAAGGTGTGCTGCATGGGAATCCATTCATTGTTTTGCCCATACCTTGCAGTTAGCCATAAACGATGGACTCTCTGACACTCATGTGGAGTGTGCAGTTGCAGCTGCAAGTAAACTAGTTGCATACTTCGTCCACAACACTGTGGCCACAAAAGCACTCGAAAGAAAACAAGCTCAGCTTCAGGTTCAGCAATGCCATCTGATCCAGTCCTGTAAAACTCACTGGAGTTCAGTATATGACATGTTTGAAAGACTCATTGAGCAAAAGAGGGCAATAACAGCTGTGCTTTCAGATAGCATAGTAATAAAAAATTCTGATGCCCGAATGCTTCAGCTGTGTGATGAGCACTGGCAGCTAATGGAGGATCTCTTACCAGTGCTTTCCACTTTAAAGTGCTGTGAAACTGTCATGTCTGCTGAACAGTCAGAGTCAATTTCAAATATTTATCCAATTTGCAACAGTCTTCTCCACACTCACCTCAAAAGCGAAGCTTCTGCTGAAAATAAAACTGTCGCTGCCTTCAAAGATGCTGTTCGTCGCTCTTTGGAGCATCTCATGACACCCAATGATCCTGACATTGCTGCTAAACCAGCACTTATTGCTTCCTTGTTAGATCCACGCCATAAGCACATGCGGTTTCTTTCATCTGTTGTCCAGATTGCTGCTAAGGCAAAGCTTCTAGAACTTGTGTCAAAATTGGCAATAGAAGAACCTCTAAGTTCTGTGGCTGAACTGAGAGGTTCTGAGCCAGATGTGGCAATAGAGCCAGAGTTGACGAAAAAGACAAGTGCCATAGTGATACTTCTAGGTGAAGATTATACCGACAAGGAGAATGAGGAGACTACTGTGGAAAAAGAACTGGAAAATTACTTCAGGGAGCCTTGCCTTTCACTGGACTGCAGTCCACTGGAGTGGTGGAAGGTCAATGCACAGCGTTTTCCTAGGCTTGGAAAACTGGCAAACAGTTACCTTTGCATTCCAGCAACATCTGTGTCTGCAGAACACGTATGTTCTAGTGCTGGTATTACTATTAATCAGCTTCGCTCAAGACTGTCCCCAGAGCATGTAAACATGTTAATTTTTCTTAACAAAAATAAGCAGTAGAATTGAAAGTAAAATCTGATGTTTTGTGGCTTGAGGTTTGGATAGCTCAGGGATACTATGCACAAAGTTTTAAAAGTTAGTTTAATTTTTGCACATAAGGCTGGGCTGTTTTTGTTGTTAATAAAGGCACTTGCCAAAGATAATAAATAGATGTGGTTGTCTGATTTATTGTGGGCCATTGTCACTGGAACCTCTGTAATGGGGACCCTGGGTGCAGGGCGCAGGCAGGACCGAGGTGAAATGCCAGGTACACCGGGAAGGGATGCTGGGCTGCAGCAGAGCCCCAGGCAAGGCAGCAGTAGAGCTCCAGATATAGGGCTGGCAGTTGTGACCATAGTTTCCCACAAAAGGAAATGAAGGGCCATGCATCTGATTAGGGGCAAGCATGGCTTTATTTCCACTAATTAGGTGCCTCTGAGGCACCAGGACCTGGATCTTGATGAAGACTGTGGAAGGTGAGCTGGGGAGTGGGGGGAGGCAGTGGAATGTAGGGGTGGGTTAGGCAGGGTTGGGGAAATGGACTAAGTTTGGGGGGTCCCACTCCCAGCCAGGTTGCCTGTGACACACAGGGAAAGTCCCTGCAGCAGCCAGTAGACAAGAGGAGCATTCCACTCCATGCAGCCCCAGCTGGACTGCCTGGGGACGTGGGAGGGACTGAAAGACTGCACTTCAGCTGTGCTGGGCAGCAGGCAGAGGAGAGTGAGATTCCCTTTGAGCCCTATCTGGGCTATAGGGCTAGGAGGAGAGAAACAAGTTCTGGCTGAAGAAGAACTCCAGTAACTGTGGTTTGTTTTTAAAAAGGAATCTAATGTCTTGTATTTTTAACCTGTCATGCCTGACTGAGTCAGGGGCTGCAGTGACACTGTTCAGGGGAGATGCCTCTCTTCCCAAACAATTTCTAAACTTCAGTGGAAACCACTTGGTCTCCTATCAAGAGAGAGACATTATTTTTTACCATTTGGGGACAGGCATTGAAAACCTTTAAGGCCAGACAGCAGGTCTTTTATCTAGTGTAGTATCGGATTCTTCGGAGGTTTAGTGTTTGCTTGCAGGTTGAAGACCTTATTTGCAAGTGTTTTGAAGCAGGGGTGCAAACTCCAAAGCTATTTGTTAGTTTCCTTTGGAGAGGGGTGTTAATATATAATGAGCCTACTCTTGTTTTTTTTTTTTTTTTAAACTTTGTGAAACCAGGAAATCTTTGCCTCTTTCTACAGGGCTCTGCAGCATTTGCATAGTGGGGTGAGGTCCTAAACACTCATTTCAAATACACATAATTCATGGCTTTTTTATTTCCCCTTGTATTTTCAATGTTGTCATTAGTTTGTTTTCTGTGGTGCTTGCTTCATTATTTATTTTTACTGTTTTCTGCGGGTGAAGCATTGAGTTGATATCCCTTACAAATTGTATAAAACTGAGTGCCTTTAACACTCCTTCAGTATCAGAGAAAATCGTATTCATATTTGCAGTGAGGACATATTTACAGTTGACTCATAGATGTGTTTTCCAGCATCTTAAAGTTGAGATGTGTTGAAATGAGATGCAAGGTTTAGTTAACCAAAACCCATAGCACAGTATTGTTGTCAGGTGCTTCATTTTGTGAAGTTTTTCCCTGAAGATTTAATGCCTATGCATGGGAGGAGGAGAGAGTTTTCTGCTTTCACTTAATGGCCACACCTTTCTTTATAGCTGTATTGAGTATACCATGTTTTGGTGTGTTTACCAGCGTGGAGTAATTAGAAAAGATGGTAAAATGTATACACTCCAAGGGCAGTTTTAATTTTTATTTAATTTAATATTAAATATCTTAAACAGTGACTTGTATGTTATGTCCGTCTTCTTCCATATCTATGAACTTGAAATATATATTTAGGTTTTTTGTTTGTACCAGTGGTCCGTATCCACACATTATTTCAATATTGATACACATTATATACCAAAATTCAGTCTGCCCATGGATGGAAAAAATTACAGGGAACACTGTCTGGCCTGAGATCCTGAGAGAGGGTCAGCAGCTGGCACTTGCCAGGAGCCCTCTGGCTGCAGAACCTGCAGCATAGAACAACCAGTACCCTGGGAGGCGAGGCTGGTGCAGCCCTATGTGCACAGGGGCCGCCAGCTCCCTGGGACTGAGCCTGCCTGCTGACTCCCAAGTTCAAATGCAGAGCCTGCAAGGGGGAAGATGGGGACCGGAGAGAGGGTCATCCAACTCCCCAAGTGAGCAGAGTTTAACTGGTAACATTAATTGAAAAGCATCAGCTTATAAGTTAACTGGTTAAACTCTTAACATCCCTAATTTATATTAAAAAATTATGAATGTTTAAGATCAATTATTTGTATTACCAATTTACAGTTGCTCTGAAGATGGTGCCACCAACTGCAGCAGTGCAGAAGTAAGGGTTAGCAGTACTGCAGCCCCCCTATAATAGCCTTGTGAGCCCCCAACAACCCCTTTTCGGGTCAGGACTCGTATAATTACACCACCATGAAATTTCAGATTTAAATAGCTAAATTCATGACGATCACGGTATTTTAAAATAATCTTCTCGTGAAATCTATCAAAATGGTCTCTGAATTTGGTAGGACCATAGCTATTTGCAGTTAAGCTCATACATTTATTAGTACTCTGCTGTGACAGCTGTTAGACCAGATGTGCAGCTTAGTATGGCAGTTCTACAGTCATTATTTAGATAGGATTCCAATTACCTACCTTGTAGAAAAACATGGTTAATTACCTTACACTTACTGAAGATCTTCAAGATGGTTTTTGCCCACACACATGCTGGATCAGCCTTCCTTCACCACTGATGAGTACCCCTTACCTGAATGACTTGAGGAATTACGTAGTGTTTGGGGCAGTTCCCTCTCAACTTCCCTCTGTATCCGCAGTAATGTGCCCAAGACATACATGTAGCCCCAAAGGATAAACTTCTGGGTAAAAGTTACTAAGCTTGCATGCTCATACAAGTGGATCTATGTGAATGAAAGCATCTAAAGGAACTCCAATTACTGTAAAGTAACTTCTGTTTGGCACATCTGCTCATTTTAACCTATTGCCGGTTGTGGTAACTCCTAAATATGTTCTTGATGTAATGGTACATTGTGTTCACCTCAGTAGAAACTGTTTACTATTAAATTACAATGTGCATGTTAGAGAGCTGGAGATTTTACTGGCTCCTTGATAATACTTGGGATCTCTGTGGTGCTTGTGAATGGAATTGACTTGGAGATTTAGTTTATGGTCCCATGAGCACTGAAGTGATTAGACTTAAATTTCTTAATAATCCTGATACTCTCTACTGATGGGAGCTCATTCAAGTGAGTGTTGTCCACTGTTTCATCTAATCTTGTTGGTAACTTTGCATTTTTTAACTCATACAGCAAGCTGAGCCCAGATAGCGGGAGGACTAGGACCAAGCTGACAGTGGAGGAGCTGAAAGCATTTGTCCAACAGCTATTCAGCCTTCCATGTGTCATCAGCCAGGCCCGACAAGTAAAGGTAGGTTTGCATCTGTTGTTTGGCACAGTGGTTTTTCTAACACCTGAAATTTCCCAGTATGGTGCAAGGTAATTTTGCCTCTCCCGTTACTTTGCCTTCTCTGATTTTTCTTTGCCGTCCCTTTTTCCACCATTTCTGCTCTAGAAGTATACTATTCTCTAGACTTCTCCTTTCTTAGCTACTGAGGTTTTCTGGCTTCCATCAATCTGCTTTGGTACAGTTGAGCAGAGAATGAGCATTGTTGCTGTGCTCTGGCTGACAAGGTAACAAAGGTTGTGAAAAATTATTTTAAATCCGAGGGAAAAATAGCAAACATTTTTCCTTTCATTTTGCGGTTTCTGTTTTATCACTTGGAATGGGATATCTCCCCAGCTGCTCTCTTGGGGATGGAAAGCTGTCTGGCACTTGAGCTTTTGTAGGCATCAACAGGTATGGAGTTACAGTGCCTGCCTGTATTATGTTTTCAGTTCTAGGTACCAGAAAACCACTGACAAAGTGGAAGACGTTCAGAGAGACAAAGGAAAAAAAGGTAAAGGGCTAGAGAGAGCATTAATTTGAGGAAATCTTAAAGCTGTCAACTGTGCCAAGGTTGGTCAGGAGTAGAGGCGAATAAAAATCTATAAATATTTGAAGGGTGTAAACATCAAGAAAAGACATATTCATAAATGATGTCTTTTAGAGGAGAGTCTATTGATAAAGATTCTCTAGGTTTTAGTCACAAGGACAGGATGAAAGAGGATAAAGTATGGGCCAGATCAGATGAAAAACATTCACATAAAAATCTGACATATCAGAAAAGGGCAGAAAAATAAACAGTGACAAGTTTTTAAAGTGCTTGTACACAAATGCCAAAATTCTAAAAAAATAAGATGGGTGAACGCGAATGCCTCCTGTTAGAGGATACTGATATAATAGGCATCACAGAAACCTGGTGGAGCGAGGACAATCAATGGGACACAATCATTCCAGGGTACAAAATATATTGGAAGGACAGAACAGGTTGTGCGGGTGGGGGAGTGGCATTATATGTGAAAGAAAATTTAGAATCAAATGAAGTAAAAATCTTAAATGAAGCAACATGTTCCATAGAATTGCTATGGCGAGTAATTCCCTGCTCTAATAAGAATATAACAGTAGGGATCTATTATCGACCACCTGACCAGGACAGTAATAGTGATTATGAAATGCTATGGGAGATTAGAGAGGCTATCAAAAGAAAGAACTCAATAATAGTGGGGGATTTCAACTATCCCCATATTGACTGGGTACACGTCACATCAGGAGGAGATGCAGAGACAAAATGTCTTGATACCTTAAACGACTGCTGCTTGGAGCAGCTGGTTCAGGAACCCACAAGGGGAGAGGCAATTCTTGATTTAGTCCTGAGTGGCGCTCAGGATCTGGTCCAAGAGGTAACTATTACAGGACCACTTGGAAATAGTGACCATAATATAACATTTAATGTTCTTGTGACGAGATGAAAACCCTAGCAGCCCAACACTGTGGCATTTAATTTCAAAAAGGGGAACTATGAAAAAATGAGGCGGTTAGTTAAACAGAAATTGAAAGGTACAGTGATTAAAGTAAAATCCCTCCAAGCTGCATGGACACTTTTTAAAGACACCATAATAGAGGCCCAATTTAAATGTATATCCCAAATTAAAAAACATAGAAGAACTAAAAAAGAGCCACTATGGCTTGGCTTAACCATGTAAACGAAGCAGCGAGATAAAAAGACATCTTTTAAAAAGTGGAAGTCAAATCCTAGTGGGGTAAATAGAAAGGAGCATAAACACTGCCAAATTAAGTGTAAAAATGTAATAAGAAAAGCCAAAAAGGAGTTGGAATAACAGCTATCCAAACACTCAAAAGGTAATAACAAAATGTTTTTTAAGTACAGGCAGTCCCCGAGTTATGCGGATCCGACTTATGTTGGATCCGTACTTACGAATGGGGCTTTTCTCGCCCCAGAGGATGCGGGCGGCGGGACCGCCCAGATGCGCCGAGGTCCCGCCGCCCGCGT